TCTCAACTTACGAAAGAATAAGTGGTTGTTCACATAAAAACATCTAACGTTAAAGAAAAAAGGGAATACCTCTGAGCGCTTGAGCAACAGATTGAAAAAAAAAGTAAACTTCTTTTACAACTCGCTTTTCTTCCCAACCCGATTTCCCTCAGCCAATAGCAAATGGAAGAAGCTTCAAGGAATCAATTAATTTCCTCTTAAGAGACAGACGTTTGCAACAAAGGACGTCTGGAGATTCTTTGATTGTAAACATAGTGGCTATTGTGTCTTCTTCACTCAGTTCTCAATGAAGAGTTCCGTTTAATGCTATTATATTTCGCCATACTTCATCCATTGTGAATTTCAGACACGATTTTTTCCTTTAGAATTTTTTCACTACTATTGAATGGTTTCAAATAACTTTGTAGCAGCTCCATTGAAAGGTTTTGCTTTCATTATGTTCTGAAATATTTTTCTGGGATGATTGTCAAGTAGAGGCAAATAATGAAAATTTGAAGTTGCAGTTTTGTGACTTTCCAGAGAAACATGGCTCGAGTTTTCTCGTTTTTTCCTTAAACCCCTTGAAGGATGATAAGGTACAGATGCCTGAAAGCAAGAAGCTGGTTTAATGCTGAAATACAAGGGATTGTGGCTCTGTTGCTACGAGCCGATTATAAATTAAGAATTAAATAGTATGGAAATGCACTTGTGGTGTTTGACTTAGATGAAATTTTAAAAAAATCAGAAATATACTTTCGCAAAATAGCATATACTGCTTGAAAGAAAACCATGTAAAACGCCGTCAGCTATTAGATTTCGCATTTATTTTCAAAGAAAATTCACGTTTATTTTCATATACGTTTTTTATTTATGCAAAATTAAGACCTTCTTCTGCAGAATAATTTTAGTCAAAAGATAGATATTTGCAAGATACTCTTAAAACTCATAGATTTCTCTTTAGAATAAATTCCAATCTAAGGTTGAATGTTGCTTTATTTTTAGGTATAAACTGAAGTGCTTCTCTTCCATTCAATTAATTATTTTATTTCTTCTCTAGAGTAGTTTTTAATGTTATTCTAAAATAAAGCGCTCAAACACTTGCTTGAATTGTGCAGGAGAGTGTTAGAATTTTAGTGTTAATGCCACATGAATTCATAGCTGTAATAACTCGTTGCTTTTGATTATACTTAAATTTATATTTTGTATACAACCATCTTTTATGTGTCCTAATTTGTTGTAAGAGAAGTAAATTGCTGCTGCAGTTTTTTTTTCGGTTGAAATGGTAGGAAAATATGACTCTAAGCTTCGCTATATGTATACCAGATTTAGCTTCGTTTTGAATAAAGCACTTTTCCAGCAGTTTACTCTTAACTGATTCAACAGTTAAATGTTTCCAATTGCTTCTAGTTAAATTATTTCTAAAGCTGTTATTCTAGAATCTTAGTCGTTTCGCGAGCATAAAATGTATACCCTACTGAAGACGAGATAGCTAATTCTCACTATGTCCGAAAAACAGATGATAAATGAGTTAAAATAAAAAGGTTATAATAACCTTTTTATTTTAACTAATTGAATAGAACATGTAGTCCCTCGGCATAAACTCGGGACTAACTCTTCTCCCTCATGGATACTCACTTTGCTACTAGCTTCAACTACTGTATGTTTTTAGTTGTCGATCGAACACTTAAATTCTGCTACTTAAATACTATTTCCGAACTCGTTGAGATTTGCTTATACGTGATTTAAATTTGCATTCTGACAGGAAATTGAAATCAGAAAGGAAATGTAGATTTCTTAAAATAAAAAATAATTGATTAGTAAAAAATAGTTATTAACGTAGCATAATTTTTAGGTAAGCTACTTTCGAAAAGAATAAAGGTTCTCCCACAGAGCTAATAGCGATAGCCCTGTGGCCCTGTGGATTAGCCCTGTGGGAGCTATTAGCTACAGGGCTAATAGCTCCCACAGGGCTAATAGCTAATAGCCTAAATTTTCTCCCACAGGACTAATAGCTGATATACAATAGCTTCCATTTTCATTAGATGATTGTACTGCTGCTTTACTGCTGTCCTACGTTTCGAGATACAGCGTTGAAGTTTCATAATATTCCGTATCTTCTTCGCATTCATACGCTTATTAATTGTTTATTTTTCAATAAAAGCCGTATAGTTGCTCTAGCTTATCCGTCTTACCTATACTTATTGATTACTGGAGACGGAGATTCGGTAATAAGAATGTTCCATAAATTCTCCTTATCAGCAAAATATTAAGTCTGAATTTCCAAGTATAAAAATGTCGGCCATTCAGTTTTCGATTTAGATCCGTAGCCACCACTACTATGCAATCGTTAGAAAAGAACAAGAAAGCGAAAGTAACCAATATTCATTGTTTTTAATCCAAAATGCTGATTGTAAATTACTGTAAATTGTTATAAAAGAATTCTTCTAACTACTGCGCCCATAACTTCATTTAATTAATTATACGCACAATATATTAATAAAAGCATCTATTAAGAGAATGGGACAGTAAGCATTCACACTGAATCAATAAACATTTTAACTTAAACAATTCAGGGGTAATCTTGGCACACTGCCAGAAAGCACTTTAGTCTTCAAATGCGGGTGGAGAAAAACGTTTTGGGTCGCAAGGTTACTTAAAAACTGCATAACAGGAGTCCAGACAAGTTATACATAATCCTGAGAATTTGGTATCACAATAGTGTCCCTCAAGCACCTGAAATGGGATCCGGATCCTAAAATTTTTGGAACTACTGCTTTAACACACCACGTTATATAATGCCCTGATAGGTGAACAAAAAAGATAGTTAGCTAGTTAATGAAAGAAATCACATTAATCATGGCATCTCTGGATATTCAGGGGTATAAAATAATAACAGATCTAGTATATTTCCAAACTGCGAATAGATCTTTGCATTGATGGGTCGCATACGGGCATAAAGAAGAATAACCTGTGTTAATGCATTTGTTTTAAGAAAGAAAATCTTTCTATTTAAGAAACACACTGTTTGGTGCAGATTTAAAAACAGAATAAAATGAGTATATAATTCTGAAATTAAAATATCCTTATAAAAGCATCCGTTTCCTTAGTCATATAGCCCTCATATGTTTTGCTATTAACCAGATAATCCAAATAACTACTTTTCTGTAGATCTTTGAAATCTTTTGGATGGGTTGCTGTTTTAGAAATTTAAACAGCTGTGTTAAAGAAATTAAAAATTGTCCAAATAAATAATTTCTGTGAATGTTTACAGAGGACCTACAGAAATATCAAGAAATGACAAGCCACTGGAATATTTCTACGCAGAAATGTAAGAAGTGCTACTTAAGCTATTAACTATAAAGTGATTTTTTTAAAATAAATTCATACTTAATTATTTGAGCACTTGCTGTAGATTTGTCTAAAACGATAAACTGAAATTATGGTAGTAAATCATTTAATTTATAAGAGTATTTTCTGATAAAAGATATCGAAATAACTGAGATTAATTATCATTTACAAGATATAATAAACTTAGTAAATTAGCATATAATTGGACCTCTGCCAAATCTGTCTACTGTGTAAAAATAACAAATATTAACGTATCTACTTTAGATTACGTAGGTAACGTATCTACTTTAATACTTTAAGATTTTATTAGTTTCATATCATATATGCATTCATAAAGCTCAAAATTTATTGCTGATATTTGTAACTATATTAGATCAGTAGAAATTTAACTTACGGTTCAAAATCAATTGTATAAAATTACATCATTTGCGATTACATATTCTATCCGATTATTTGTTACTTTCAGAAAAAGAATGTAAATGCTTACTACTCTCTGCAGTTGTAAGAATTTTTCGCTTATTAGTTGCGAATGTATGATTCTTTGCTTCCGTTTGCTGCTGCTTTCCATTGCAATTACTGCTTATTCGTATCTTAAAAGCATTTTTGATTTCTTTTTTGCTATTGGCTCACATTGCTCATTTTCACTGCTTTTATCTTGAAAAGTGTGTGAGACAGTTAACCATTAAAGTATCAGATTTCTACTTCGTTTAATGCATTTTCCACAGCTGTGAACTTTTATTCCTGTATCATTCTTGAGCATTTTATCCCCGACTTTAATCTTAGAATGTATTACAGATTACTGAACTCTCAGATTTTTTATGTCACTTTCATTTTCTTATAAAATAAAATAAAATTGAACTATGGAATGATAAAATAAAGCAGCAAAGGAAAGAATATATGAAATGGATGAGAAACACGTTAATAAAAAATTTAAAATTAGGCAAATGCAGTAAAATAGTAGATTTTTGTATAAATTTCGATCTATTTCGAGAGCTATTAGACACAATTACGAGAAAAACATGTTTATCCTTAAAATATGCTAGCAATCATAGTTTTGCTCCTGAACAAGAGGGACATGTGTCTGAAAATTTTCAAATAGACAGAGAGTTGTATCTTTTGTATCTAAATATTGAAAATTGCAGTTATGAATGCGGCTTGTGCGACCTTTTATTGGCGCGCTACAAGTCTAGTCCGAGAAATACTTTGTGCAGCTCTGTTTATTAAAAATAAGATATTAGAATACTTTTTCACCTTTGCTATGAAAAAGGATATTTGTATTCTGTTCAAATCTTGTATAATGTTTCAGAAAATGTCAGTTAGAAGTATAAGATTTAAGTGGAAATTTCATAATTTCATTTACTTCACAAATAAGATTTGCAATTTTCTATACATAAAAATTTGTAATGTTATAGAAAGGTTAAATGGCGAAAAGCGAACTTCAGTTTTGCATCTTCATAAAAGTCTCTGTATCTGAAATTATGTATAATTAAGCGACTGTTAACTTACATATGTAAAGTACGTAAAGTCATTTTACTAGAAAAATTAACGGAAAATAACTTTTCAATTATATGTTACTCTGAAACGCTTCATCAGAAATTGTTAACAACAAATTTTGCCAACGTATTAAAATTTTGTTTGTTACTTTGATATTGTTTTAAACACATTACACGTACCTTCCATGTTACTTTCATGGACTGTGCTCCTGTAGACTGAACTTGGACGTCTCTTGGCGAACCAGATGGAGCTGAAATAAAATAAGCGAACATTTATATATTTTACAATAATTCAGCATGATAACGTACAGTGTTCAGAGATTCTGAACCGAAGTTTTTAGAAAAATAGTGCAAGAATTATATTTAGGAATATGTAACAATTCCAAACATATGCAAAATAAAGCACAGAGTGGCCAAAAATTAATTTGCAATAAACATAGTTATGAAAGGTATTTTTAGAAAGGAAAATAGTAGAGATATTTAGGAATATCAACACAGGATGAAAGATATTATATAATGATATACTTATATAAAAATATTGTTTTTCAATTAGGTTTCCAGAATTTGGATTGCAAATGAAGAATTAGCTATTGAAATGGGCTAACATTTAAAATTCAACTAAATTCTTAATTATTTTAAATAACACGCAACGTAGTATCTAGAAAATACAATTTATATTTATGCTCGTCGAACTGCATTAAAATACTAAACTATGCCCCCCCACACCCTTATAATTCTTATTCTTACCTTAAGTAGCACCTACTATTTTACACTATTTGATTCTAAAGTATTCAGATATAAGACTCTGAAACCTGTCTCTGTATGAAGGTCATACAAGACATTTTTCACTATCATGTATTTCTTTAAATAAAAGATAAAAATACCAAGAATACCTCTTATTATCTCACTTAGATATTAAATTAATTTTTTTTTCATTCAAATCTGCGCGTCTAAAGCGCATAAAAAGAGGACAAAGAGATGTGTCCTTTGGGACATAAAAAACGAATTAACATACATCTTTCTTCGGTATCGATTAGGAATTAAAGTACCATTAAGAATTAAGCAAACGTATTATATACCCTAAAATTAGTTGATAAAAAAGTGATCCTTGCTAATGAATCAAAGGAAATGAAATAAATAATAATGTGCAGTAAAGGTATCTGAATCATTCTATTCAAATCTATACCGCCAGTTCTTAGTTTGTAGGAAGCAAACACGATAGACTACGCAATTAAGAGCATTTTGAGATTGTGTTCCATTTTCCTTTAAAAATGAAGATTTAAATGACTAGAGAAAGAATAAGTTGTATACATAATCATCATTTCAAAGTAAATCGCGCTTGTAGGAAAGTAACCGAAACAGCAGAATGAGCTCTTAGTAGAAAATTTCTTGCAACAGAAAAGCCCTTATAAACCAGGCTTTTGGATCTATGTTATATAAATTAATTTTCTCCATCTGCAGTGTTAAAGACACCACTGGCAGAACAAGAGGAAATTAATACTTGCGATCATATATTGCAAAAGCTTTCATTGTATCTGATTTCACAACATGCGATCAATAAGCTTTTGTTGATAGCATAAAATAAAAGTAAGTAGTTATTGGCATGATGCTGATATCACACGCGAAAGGATTCACATTATTGGCATAATGCTGATATCACACAAGAGATGCCATGCGAATCATTAAATGTCCACCGCTGGATGCGCACATTGAATTACAATGTTTTTATTTCTTCTTACTTTCAAACAAAGGAGGAGTTGCAATATCGAACGAAACGAAAATCAAAAAACGAAGGGGAAGCTGCAATATCTCTCCTCAAACATAAAATACATCATGATCAATTGTATGGAGATGTAACTCTTTCTATGGGATTGGCCACCTGTAACCTTTGAATGAAAATAGTCTTCAGTGTAGATTAAAGGACTTGCAAAAGCCTTTCGAACAGTTTAAGAACAATTACAGTTTTTCAATAAAATGAGGCAAAAGCTTCAGTGATACTTGCAAAATTCTCAATCCTGATTTCAATTAAAAATGGGAATATAGAGCTTCTTATATTTTTGTGGAAAAATTTCCTATTTGCAGTATTGTTTTATGTTGGTAAGGTTGGATAACGTTTCAACAACTACTGCATATATGCATTTGCCAGCATCCACTCTACCAAGATTAAATATTCTTGCTCATAACCTTAGTTTGTCATAAACTCAGCCTGTTATATTAGCTATAGGACTAGATTAATACAATTATGTAAAAAATGGTACGAACGTGTATTGCTTTAGCCAGATAACAAATGACGAATTTAAAAGTTAATATTTTTTCAAACAAAATGAATTTTCATAGTAAATGACGTAAGCTCATTACTGAAAGTCTTAGGGATCAAGCACAATCTTGAAGCCTCATAGATAAACTTCTGGAAAACAAGCTTAAAAGACGTCCTTGCTTCAAAACGGAAATGATTATCCAGCTAGAATATTTGTATACACCATCACATGAAATAATCATAAAAACTTTGAAAATATTATTCAACAGTATAAATTACGAAAATCACTCATGGCAGACAACTGAAAATAAAAGCTTGCTTAAAATAAGAGAAGAGAAATATTGTATATGCATAAATGTTGAATAAAACTCAAAATTGCGGCTATTTTTTGCACAATTTTTAATTTTACATTAGTGTATTTAAATTTTATTGTAAATTCATTGGAGTGTAGTTTAGAATTTTACTTGGTCCTATTTATCTTAAATTGCATTGTGAATGCCTTATTTTATTCAAATAAATTATTTTTAGTTTGGCTTTCCTTTTCCTCCTGATTTCAGATTTTGGCGGGAATACACATTTTAATGACATAGTATGCAAAATATGTGTTCAGAAGCAGTATTTAAGTTGCGTTTCAAGAGTTCGTGAGAAGTAGCAGCGGAGTTAAAGGTTATTTAAACCTTTTTCAGTAGTATCTGTTCTTCAAGACATAGAATAGAATTCGCTAGGCAGTCTCTCCACGTAGGGTCTACTGTGCGTGCTTCCGAAAAGAACACATAGACTGCATAGCATTGTAATTTTACTTTGGCGTATTTATCTTTTATTTATCATTATTTCTTAGACCAGCAGTAGGACAATCAGAATTATGCGGCTTTTTTAAAATTCTTGTGGTTAACATAACAAGGAGAAATATTACGTTAAAATGTCTTTCCTGAAATGGAGACACTATATTCGTCATTCAGAAGTGAAAAAAAAAATATTATTTCTGATTTACGAGTACATCTTTAGAAATTGCATTAGCCACATCTTGACATCGAACTAAATTTTAATGGTAAACTTCGTTAATATATACGAAGTAAAAAAGGAGGCGTTTTACTTTTCCTTATAGCGATCCTTATTTTGTAAGTAGTTTAAATATATCTGTTTCATGTTTTGAAGTCATTTGATTTCATTCGTAATTTAAAAGCAGAAAACTGCACAGAGTAATTTGTGAGTGTTTGGACAATAATAAACCTTCAGGGTGCATTTCGTCACTTACGATTCATTTTCTGTAGTCCAACCATGGCTTTTTTGTCAGAGAACGTAAAAGCCGTAATCGATGCTGATAACGAAATTTACATTAAAAATAGTGTAAGATAAATATATGTTTTGAAGATAAATGCAACATTAACATGCTAGTTGACAACTATTGAACTCAATGGGATATGTCAGACTTAAAAATAACAAAAAATGCAACAAAGAATTTTAAAATGTTAAAACCAAATCATTTCAAACAAGCAAAATCAAACTTCAAAAAATTTTTGAAATTTAACGAAAAGTAAACAAAAAATTGAAGAGGAATTCAATCAACCACAATGTCACTTCATCGGGGGGGGGGGAGTGACTGGCGCAAAGGTATAATTTGCTATGTGGAATTAATTCTAAAAATACTAAAATATTTCTCATATAAAATCTGTAAAACCCAAAATACGTTATTTTATTAGTCAGTGTAATTCAAACAGTCCCAGAGTAATATCACGATATGGAATGCATGCTTATTTTAAGGTTATCTCTTCTTGTACAGGGCAAGAATGATAAATAAAAATACGGAATTGCAACTTACTTTAATTTCTCCATCAGATGCCTTCAAAATTTCAGTCAAAATTAATAGTACTTTCTTTTGTTTAAACACAGTCTAAAATATACTGACTACCAATAAGTATTTGGATACCTATGCAAATGAGGATATCTGCGGTCCTAAGGTACTTCACGGATTCCGCCGGTATATATCGCGTAGGAAACAGCATCGGCTTTAGTCGCATGCAAGATGCCTCGCAGTTCGGAGCTCTCTGATTTCGAGAAAGTTATAATTATCGGGTATCACAAATGTGGCCGATCCTTAAGGGACATAGCTAGCGATCTGAAGTACCCAAAATCAACCGTGGTCTATGTGATTAAGAAGTGGAAGGTGAGCGGTGATTGTCAGAATGTGCCCCGAGTCGGCAGACCAACGAAACTGGGAAATAGAGACCGACGAGTGCTGTCCAGAGAAATTCGGAAGAACCCCACCCAAGTGATGGCCCTCATCCGCGAGGAGTTTCAACAGGCATCCGGGAGTATTGTGTCAATGAATACCATCCATAAGGAAGCACATCTGCTTGGTTTTCATGGTCGTGCCTGCTGCTCATAAGCCTTTGATCACAAAGTCCAACCACGCTGCTCGGTTAATGTGGTGCAAAGCACATCGAAATTGGGCCGAAGATCAGTGGAAACGGGTTCTTTGGAGTGACGAGTCAAGGTTCACCCTTTACCGTTCGGATGGCAGCGTCTGGGTTTGGCGTCTACCTGGAGAACGTCTCTTTCCAGAATGCATTGTGCCAACAGTCAAGTTCGACGGAGGTGGAATTATGGTCTGGGGGTGTTTCTCCTAGTATGGGCTGGGACCCTTGGTCCCCATTCATGGTAAGCTCAACTCCGATGCCTACAGCACTATTTTGGATGACAATGTGCTTCCTACGTTGTGGCAATTTTACGGGTTGGACCCCTGTTACTTTCAGAACGACAATGCCAGTTGTCATGTTTCGAAGTTAACCAAGGCTTGGTATAGTGCCAATGGAGTTCATCGAATGGACTGACCTGCCCAGAGTCTAGACCTGAACCCTATCGAAAACCTCTGGGACGAGTTGCATCGCCGAATTCAGGGGTGCACTACCCGTGCAAAATCGGTGAAGGAACTTCTATGTCTTCTCCAAGCTGAGTGGAAGAAAATACCACTAGCTGTCATACAAAGACTTGTGA